GAATGCACTATACTGTTCTACAACCTGAATAGCAATAAAATACTTCAGAAGATCTCAAACCCTGCTCAGTCTCCTTGCAACTGCTCTAGAACTCCTTCCTGTAGTTCTCAAAGTCCTGTTCAGAGAAACAGCTGCTGAAACTTCTTTAAAGTCCTCTAAGACTGAACAGCACTAAGCAGCTCCATAGTGCTCTAAATCGATCTGACTTCTCTAAATGGCCTATTAGCAGTTAGCTCTAAGCAACTCTGAATTCCTATGAAATGTGCCAAAACTCCTGTAAAGCACTCTAAGCAAGTGTAAGACTCTTTTACCTTTTCTAAAGCTCTTCTGAAAACCTCAGAGCACCACTAAATTGATCTACACCTCCTCTATGTTGCTACAAACAGTACTAATTTGTCTCTAAACACATCTCAAATGCCTTTAACTCTCTACTGTACCCTCTGTAACTCCTGTAAACTGTTCTAAGCAGCTCTAAACCACTTCAAGCTACTGTAAAACTTTTCTCATGCTGTCAACAGCATGAAGCCACTCTAAAACTCTCTTAAGATACCCAGAAAATCTGAACTCTCTCTGAATGGCTCTGCAGAGCACTGCAAAATTATCTCTGAACTTCCTGAAATACGCTGCTCTTTTGGGGCCAGTACTGCCTAGCCTTTTCATTAATGACATAATGATGGAGCAGAGAACACCCTCAGCAGGGAGACCTTGACAGGATGGAGCAATGGACTGACAGGAACCTCATGATCTTCAATAAGGGGAAGTGCAATGTCCTGCAGCAGGGGAGGAATAAGGCCAGGAACAAGTACAGACTGGGGGCCACCCAGCCGGAAAGCATCTGGGCTGAAGAGGACCTGGGGAGCCTGGTGGACAAGCAGAACATGTGCCCTGCAGTATCCTGCATTAGGAAGAGTTGCCAACAGGTCGAGGAAGGTCATCTTTCCCCTCTGCTCATCACTGGTGCAATGCATCTGGAGCATTGGGCACCCCAGTAGAGGGAAGACATGGGCTTACTAGAGTGAGCCCAGTGAACAGCCTCAAAGATGATCATGGGATTGAAGAATCTATGTAACAAGGAGAGGCTGAGAGAGCTGCGGCTGTTTAGCCTGCAGAAAAATTACCCATAGTAATGGAAGAGCACTGAGAAGATGGGATTTCTGGAAGAATGAGATGAGCCTCAGAGAAAAGAAAAATACATGTGCTTTGTAAGAGCCTTTTAATAAAGCCAGACCCCAGAGAAAGTGATCTCTGTGTGTGAATAGCCCACAGTGAGCGTATTTTGAAGTGGAGGAGGAATACCACAAACCCAAACTCCTGAGTTTATTATGTTGAGTACATGAAAACTGTTCTCTCTACTGCAGGTGCTGGAGACTCAAAATGTGCTCTAATGGGATATCTTAAAGTGTACACTCAAGGCATAATGTTTTATTGAACCTGCTTTATGAATGGCTGTAGAAAACCCAAATAATTTTCCTCAGGTGATAGCGGAATAGACTTCACAACTCGTTAAAGTTGTAAAGTAGGTATGCTTTATTCAGCTGAAGACGCACGGGGGATTGGTCCTCCAAAAGGCATGCGTGCCTCAGTGTTGTTTCCCTCTACATTTATCCTCTAAAGTTACAAGGTTGCACAATACGCCTATACATATTCATATTCTATCCCCGCTTCCTATTATAATGACCTAGAAAGTCCTCTGCGCCTGCGCAGTGCCCCCTCTGGTCATGGGCAGGGGTCTCAAGATGAAGTAAATGAGTCTTCCTCCTGTGGGTAGGGGTCTTCAAGATGAAGTAAATGAGTCTTCCTCTTCTTGAACTTGTCACCTTTTAGTCTTCACACATATGGTCTTAGGGCTTGGTCGGTGCCCCAGCCATAAACCATCTGCTTCTTCCCGTATCCAGTGCCTGCTTTTCCTTATCAATAGCTACTTATCATTATAATCAGGTGTCTGCTTATCAATAGGACCAGGTGCCTGCTTTTGCTTATCAATAGGACTTGGTGTTTTTGTTCTACTTACAACAGACAATACCTTGTCTAGGCAAGTAAATTCCTCTAACACAAGCAAATTCCTCTAACCCCCCTGTACAACCCCCCGTACATTGGTCAACCCTCTGCATCACAGTCAGCAATTCCAGCCCACAGGAGAGCTGCAAGCTACAGTCATTGTGTGTATTCAGAAAAGACCTACTGATATCTTTTTGGTGGTCAGTCTATATGCAGTCTATGTGGCCTTTTGTATACTTTTTTCTTCTGAGTTTGTTAAATGTCAGCCACAAATCACTGCACAAAGCACCTTGTCTTAAGAGATGCTGGTGGTCTGCTGGTCACAGCTACCGCAAGAAGATTTGAATTCCAGACCAGCTGTGGTCCTGGTGGGGTGGAGGATTGTGCTGTGCACAGCTGCCTTTCTGCCACAGCCCCCAGACTCTGCCCTGCATGTGGTACACATCTATTAAAACCACATAGAATCCTAGAATCATAGAATAGTTAGGGTTGGAAAGGACCTTAAGATGATCAAGTTCCAACCCCAATGCCACGGGCAGGGACACCTCTCTCTAAACCATATCACCCAAGGCCTAGTCCAACCTGGCCTTGAACACTGCCAGGGATGGAGCATTCACAACCTCCTTGGGCAACCCATTCCAGTGCCTCACCACCCTAACAGGAAAGAACTTCTTCCTTATATCCAATCTAAACTTCCCCTGTTTAAGTTTTAACCCATTGCCCCTTGTCCTATCACTACAGTTCCTACATGTCAGAGAAGAAAATGGGAGCCGCATGGGCTGCACATGAGGAGCGGTTTTGATTGCCCATAAGCCACCATTTTCTGCTCACTTCTCATAGCCTGACCTCTATTTGCCTTTCTCACACAGTGATATGGACCCTCCCACCTCCCCATGCTGTGTGTTGCAGCACCATGGCACTGCAGTTGGCATTGGGGGTGCTTTAACCATCACAATGAAACAAGAAATGGGCGGAAGATGAGGAAAGAGCAGCCAAAGCCTTTCCTGGTTGAAGCCCTCATGGTGTTCTGCAGGCCCCATACCATGAGCCGTACCCATGGTGTAGGGGTGTACCACACAAGGCCAAAATGGAGCAGGTCTTCTCCTTAACTTCTAGTTTCTATGTATCTGATGGCTTTTAGTTTATGGCATCATTTTTCTGTTCATATATTACATGTTTATACGTTATTGGTTTGGGTTTCTCTTATCCAAATAGTGACGATGCATAAAAGAACTGCAAATTAGAGGCATTGAGTAACAGGAAGTCCCCACCACAGCAGGCATCGGTCAGAGACTATTGAGCTTAAAGTTAGATAACCATGACAAGGAACAGAAAAGCTAAATATGACCTCTATTTTACAAAGGGGGGGCTAAAGCACAGAGGTCAATGGGTGGTTTATTTCATCAGTGCATGACATTTTGTTTTATGGTAATAATGATATTTTGATGCTTACCCTTAAATTACTGAGCTGTACGTTTTGGTTTCAATTGCAGTTGCACCTTTGTTTTGTCTGAGAACAGAGAAAAGATGATATCTGACTAATTTGTTTAGTAAAAAATAATCTTTCAGTGCTGTTAATTGCAGTTCCCAAGCTTTTGACATGGCATTTGGTGCTTGTTTCCTTTCCGACAAGGCAGAGTGGGTTTGCTTCCTCATTTACCATGATGAGCCTTTTGAAATTCCTCTCATTCAATGGCACTGAACTGCAGAAAATGTGGTTTTCTTTCTCCTGTACCGTGCAGTGGATGTGTCTCTCTAGCAGACAGCTCCAGGAAGACATTTGATGCTGCTGATCAAAGCGGTGGCATGATCTCCCCTCTTTGTGCAGCTCCAGTTTCTGTGTAGGCAACCTAAGGGGAGCCCAGCCTGAGTCACTTCAGGCAACCATACTTCTAGTTTGCAGCCAGGCTTCCCTCAGTGTTTTCAGCCATCAACAGGAAGATATCCTCTTCCTTTATTTTCAACAGTGGCTCGTACCTGGGCAGAAATCCGTTCTGAAATTCGTAGATCTGTTAACTAACTCCCCCTCAAGATTTCCTGCCCTGATGCTCTGCAGGGCTGCCGCCCATCTGGACTGCTGCAAAGCATTCCTTAAAGCCCGGTGTCTCTTCAGACATGTAGCCAGCTCTCTTCCTTCAACGCTCTGTAATTTATTTATTTTCAAAAGTTTTTTTCTTTGGGGGGGGGTGTTTGTTTTGTTTTGTTTTTTTTTTTTTAATTTTGAAAATAGCCTTTAACAACCCAAACAAGCCTTTGTTTTTAAACAGTACTGTAGAGTGTGGGCTATGGGAGACTGCGGGGACTGCGGCTGCTTTAGTGGGTCACCGGAGGCAGCCGGGCAGAAAGCAGAGGCTCCTCCATGCTCAGCCCTGCGGCAGTCCGCTTCTGCCAGCTCGGCATTTACCCGTGGTGCGTGGAGCCCCGGGAGAGCAGCGCCGGCGCTAGGGCTCAGCCCGGGAGAGCAGCTGACGGCCGGGGCGGGGCAGGGCAGGGCCAGGCCGGGCCGAGGGCGGAGCGAGGCGGCCCCGGAGAGCTGGCGGGTCTGGGCAGCCGCCGGCAAGGGAGGAGAGGTGAGGTAAAGTGAGCGAAGAGGGTTGGGGTTGTGAGGTGCCTGGGGTCGCTGTCGCTGCCCCGCGGGGCGGCCTCACCCCGCGCTCCCCGAGGCCAGACCCGCCGCTGCCGCCGTCGTCGCCTGGGCTGGCCGGTCTCGGCTCGGCACGGTGCTGACTGCAGGCCTGGTGTCCCTGTGGTCCGCCGGGAGCCGGTGTGGCGCCGCCTTTCTCGGGGGAAGGGTCTTGACCCTGTGCGCTGCAAACCTGTTTTCCCTTCCAGGCTGGCAGACGTGCCCACCACCCTCGTGTAGGAAAGGTAAAATAGGAGTCTATGCAATGTAATTGCAGCCGGTGCTCCCAGCCTGTCCTGGGATGGTGCTGTCTGCAGTAAGCTGCTCTTTCACAAGAAAGGGGCGATTCTAACTTAATTAACAGCCTTGCAGTCCACTTCTGAACTTTGCCTGTTCAGTTTTGCTTTTAATGGAAGCTGGACAATAGTAATTTTATCTTTCTTTTCCAAACAGCTCAATGACACCCAGAAAGAAGTTAGAGGGTCTTGTAGCTGCTACAGTAACTCCAATGACTCCTGATGGGTGAGCTGTCAAAGTTGCACTGACTGCTGTTACCTTAGACCCTTATTTTCCTTCCGTTTTATTTGGAACTGATCACTTCCGATGTTGTTTGGTGGTGGGGGGGGGGATGGGTTTGGTTTTTGTGTTTTTTTTTGTTGTTGTTTTGAGGGGTTTGTGGGTGGTTGGTTTTGGTTTTGTGTGTGTGCTTTTGGTTTTTGTGGGGTTTTCTGGGTTTTATGTTTTGGTTTGGTTTGTTGGGTTTTTTAGTCGATCTCAGATGGAGGAACTATTAGGTTGGTCCCATTAGAACTAGAGTGGGACCCCCGATGTCCTCCCTACTTTGGAGTAGCCATGGACCCTAAGCTTCTCTTGGGGATATGTCAAGATCTGTCTGTGTTTTTGAGGGAGACAGTAGAGATTTGCTAGCACAGTCCTCTGAGTCTTTATTTTTTCAAAACATGGTACTATCTCAGGCAGGCAGTCCATTTGTACTGCAGTCACTGCTTCGTTTCTTGCTTTAAGGGAAATTATTTCTGATTTACTTCTTTATTACAACTCAAATTTATTGCAGCGTGGTATTTGGAGAGTAACCTGGGCCCTCTGACTGTAATGCATGGCCTTTGTAAGACATGTTCTGGGAAATCAGCTATGAAATTTTGGGTGATGTGTGAACCCCAGTCAAGGTACCAGAATTGACTTCCAGGCTATAGGGTTGGCTGCATGTTTGACAAATGAAAATAACAACGAAATACTATAAACTGATAAACACAATATGTTCATCACGCAGAGAAGATAAACATAGAATTCAATTTCCCCTGTTTGTCAGGAAAGTCTGTTGCTTTCCTTATTATTTAATGAGAGAAAGAGGTCAAAGTCATGTCCAGCAGATGCCATGTCACTGTGTCCAGCAGTTACAGCAGAGTTTAACTGTTTGCCAGCACTTGCACAAATATCTTCGTGCTCTCAAGAGGAATTCGGTTTCCCTCAACAGTAGAAAAAGTTTGAGTGCCTCTAGTTCTGTCCTGTCTCTTCAAAAAAGGCTCTGTGATGAGCCTGCAGTAATTACCAATTGAGATAAAAGACTGTAACAGCAAATTACTTGTCAGGAGGAAGAGAAACTGGAAGAAAATATTCAGAATTGAGCTGTTACTTGAAATGTTAAATACATGCTGAGGGTATCGTACCTCAGAGTAATCTGTGTGTGTATAAATGCAAGGCTTCAAAAATGCGTGCCCTTTTTTTGGTTTCTTTATCACTAAGTTTAAGATTATCTGTGGGTGGAGACTTACGATTGCTGGGGTTCCTTTAATTTCAGACAAATTAACCTTTCAGTAATTCATCAATACGTGGATTATCTGGTAAGCGTGCAGAACGTGAAGAACGTTTTTGGTAAGTGGTTTTTTTTTGACAGAACCTGTGTTACACCCCTTCTGCCTGGATGGGAATCCTATGATATCTTACCTGATAAGAGCTGTAGTGGGAGGGACTGTGGATGTGGGATCATCCTAAACATTTATATTCAACCGTGGAGAGAGTACAAGTGACACTTAAGGTTTCTGCTTTTGCTCACACCCTATTTCTGAGTGGGATGAAGTAAGCGTTGCCTTCATTGATCCCAGACATGAATGGATAATGCTGTGTTGGCAGAGAAGACTCAACTAAATGATTCTTCCTTTTGCCTGGGAAAGAAGCATCTGATTGAAAAACACCATCTCAGGAATCCAGAGAATTCCACAAGCTCATCAAGGCCAGATGGGCTTCTTTAGGAGACTTGTGGTGCACCAGGGAATACTGAGATGGCAGCTGCTCCATCTCTCTGCTCTGCTTCCGTCTTGGGGACTGCTGCAGGGGCAGGAGGGATGGCTGGATAGAGAATACAGCATTTCTAAACCACTTTTATTCACAGCCTGTCATAGTAAAGTATGTTGAAAGTGATACAATTTTGGTTCAAAACTTCAGTGGAAAGACTGCCAAGATGCAGAGCAGAGGGTGGCGGAATACAGCTATCCCAGTTTAATCTGTTGTTTGTGACTGAACATACTGACATTTCATTGTTTTCAAGGGGTGCTTGGTGCTAGGTAGGATTAGGTGCTAGGTAGACCATGTGGTTCCACTCACAGCAATGTCACCAAATTTCACGTAAGGCTGCTTCCTTGAGATGGAGTAGAGACAGTCACTTTGCTTGGCTAGGTGGGCATCCCTTGATCAGGGGTGTCCCAGCATGACTCACTGCTGGGAGAAGGAGGTAGTGTCTGCTGGGGAGGAGGTGCTGGGAGGGCAGTTTCCAAGTTTCACCAGCTGATTCTGCCTCCTCTGTCCCAAAATTGCCAATCCTGAAACACCCAGGTTTCCAACACAAGCAGATGCTGGTGTGGACCACTGCTATCTTAAAATGAGTTGGGGGGGGAAGTTTTCTGTTTAATATAAAAAGTGTCAGTTCTTGTCTTCAGTAAAACCAATGCATGTAAGCCAAGCCTCAGCAAGTGTGTTGTGTTGAAACAGTGAATGGCACAACAGGAGAAGGACTGTCCCTTAGCATCCAGGAGAGGAAGCAGTTGGCAGAAGAATGGATATGCCAAGGAAAAAACAAGTGAGTAGCTGAGAGGGAGCAGGGGATTCTGGATCCTGTGTTGTGATATAGACATGCCTGACTGCAAAGCCAAATTTGCTAATGACTTTTGAGGGTTTTTTTAGGATTTTGTTGTTGAGCTTTGCTCCCCAGCTCTTTTATCACAGAAGTCTGTTTTTTGTCACTGCCAGTTAGCCGGTGTCCATTTCTGCTGCTTAGAGAGCTTGTAAGAGTCCTTCTCTTTGGCACACTGAGTGGTAAGGGGACAAAAAAGGTCTGCCTATTTATGCCCTGTGAGCATTTTTAAACCTTTTAATATATTGAATCTTTTGAACCTGTCTTCTATCACTTCACTGCTGCCGCCGCCTTGGTTGCTATGTCAGAGGATGTGAAGAAAATGAGATGTTTTGGGTGAGAAGGCTTTGCCAAGCCATTATCCATCATCTTTGAGAAGTCATGGCAGTCTGGTGAAGCTCCTGCTGATAGGAAAAGGGGAAATATAACCCACATTTTTAAAAAGGGAAAAAAGACCCAGGCAGCTACAGACTGGTCAGTCTCATCTCGGTGCCTGGCAAGATCATGGAGTGGATACTCCTGGAAACTACTGAGGCTCATGGACAATAAGAGGGTGATTGGTGACAGCCAACATGCCTTCACTTAAGGGTAAATCATGCCTGGCAAATCTGGTGGCCTTCTACGATGCGGCCATGGCACTGGTGGGTAAGGGAAGAGCAACTGATGTCATCTATCTGGACTTGTGCAAGGCATTTGACACTGTCCCACATGAAATCCTTGTATCTAAATTGGAGAGGTGTGGAATTGACAGATGTACCAATCAGTGGATAAGGAATGGCTGGATGGTCGCACTCGGAGAGTTGCAGTCAACAGCTTGATGTCCAAGTGGAAACTGGTGACGAGTGGTGACGCTCAGGGGCTGGTACTGAGACCAGTTCTACGTCTTTTGTTGGCAGCATGGTCAGTGGGACTGAGGCACCCTCAGCAAGTTTGCTGACAACACCAAGCTGTGTGGTGTGGTTGACATGCTGGTGGGAAGGGATGCCATCCAAACAGACATTGTCAGGCTCAAGAGCTGGGCCTGTGTGAACCTCAAGTTCAACAAGGCCAAGTGGAAGGTCCTGCACCTGGGTCAGGGCAATCCCAAGCACAACTACAGGCTGGGCAGAGAACAGATTGAGAGCAGCTCTGAGGAGCAGGCCCTGGGGGTTTGGTTGCTGAGAAGCTCCACATGAGGTGGCAGCGTGTGCTTGCAGCCAGAAAGCCAACTGTGTGCTGGGCTGCACCAAAGGGAGTGTGACCAGCAGGCTGAGGGTGGGGATTCTCCCTCTCTGCTCTCGTGATACCCCACCTGCAGTACTGCGTTCAGCTCTGGGGCCCCCAACATGAGAGACGTGGACTTGCTCGAGCAAGTTAAGAGGAGGACCATGACATGTTCCAAGGGCTGGAACACCTCTCCCGCGAGGCTGAGAGTTAGGTTTGTTTATTCTGGAGAAGAGAAGGCTCAGGAGAGACCTTAGGCATTCCAATACCTAAACAGTGCCTATGAGAAATCTGGAGAGGGACTTTCTCATAAGGGCTTGTAGTGATAGGACAAGGGGGAGTGTCTTTAAACTGCAAGAGGGCAGATTTAGATTCGAAATTATGTAGAAATTCTTTACTATGAAGATGATGAGACACTGGAACAGGTTGTCCAGAGAAACTGGCTGCCCCATCCCTGGAAGTATTAAAGGCCAGGTTGGATGGGGCTTGGAGCTACCAGGTCTAGTGGAAGGTGTCCCTGCCTGTGGCAGAGGGATTGGAACTGGATGAGATTTAAGGTCCTTTCCAACTCTAACCATTCTGTGATTCTATGATAGTGAGCAGAAATATACTGCTGTGAAGGCTCACAGTCTATATGGATATAAAGGAGTAACACAGCAATGTGGCTGATGGACTGGAGCTTGAGAGTCCCTTGGCAGGAGCAAACAGTCAAAAGGTGCTGCTGTGAGGTTGATCTCTTCTGGTAGTTCTGCAGAGGTTTTGAAAGCAAAGATATGCTTTGATATCCTTTCATTTTCCCAGCTTCCCATTAAATACTTAATTTCTTAATTTTAACTTCCTAAAATAAAATGCTAAGATTTGTCCCTCCTGACAGCCTTGCAAATATGACAGCAAGGAGTCACACAATTCATGTTTGCAAATGTGTTTTCTTTTTTCCACTACCAGCTGCTTGCCACTGTGTGTCTGCTTGTCAGGTCAATATAGGTTCAAATCCTTTTAGGTTTAACCTGTGTTCCATGGCTCCATGGTTTGAAGCGAAACAATTTAGCAGACTGGTATTCTTCATGATCATTTCCTAAACCTTTCAAATTTGTTTTGGTTTTGTGCAGATTGGATCATGTGATCATTCATGTTGGAGCACTGAGTCTGCCGGAGTCCCAAGAGTTGGTGTGTATGTGATTCCTTTTCACTATGTGTGTAATAAATGTAAAGCAGATGTACCTTCAGATACCTTCCATGCTCTCTTTTACAGGCAAGACATGCAGCAGCCATAGGTGCTAGTGGTATTGCTGTAATAGCCCCCTTCTTCTTCAAACCCACAAACAAAGGTGAGTAGATGCTATTGCCAGACCTACTGAGGCCTTTTATGTTGCCCTCCAAACCTTTGTCATAGATAAAGGATTAATGCCATCTTCTTTCTTTGGAAAATATTCTGGTGATAATGTTTGCACACCTGTCATGTCTAGTGCCATGCAAAAGCAAAACCTAGAAGAAGCATTTTTTAAGGATGGGAGATACCAGAATTCTCCTAGTAAGAAGGGGGAAGGAATGTGTTTTGTTAGTCTCTTGTGAAAAGAAGAGCTGCTTATGAAAAGAGCAGTTAATTAACCTGTCTTCTGAATAGATAGTATGGAGGTTATGCTTGATCTGGGCCACACAAGGAAGCAGTAGCTTCCTTGCTTACCCTTGCAGGACACTGACCAAGTTGATAAACTGCTGATGCACAGGCATGCCTTGTGTTACTGAGGTGATGGTTCTGTGCACCTAAGGTTACCTCAGAACTTAAATTGTTTTGCTTTTAACAGTATAAGCATAGCATAAAATAACCACATGGAGTAGAAGTTTGTAACAGAAATCTAAAAAAGCTGTCTGAATTAATTATTAATGGAAATGTTCATATGAAAGCACCAGAAAAAAACAGAGTCTATTGTCAGAATGGCTGGTATTGACAGCCAAGGACACAGTCACTGGCAATTGAATGGTGAGCACAAAGGAACATCACAGGGATCAGCAGAAGACCTTGCTGATAGTAATAGGATAGCCATGAGGTTTCAGCATGTTGTTTTTTGCCATTCCTCTTCCTGCTAAGCCAATAGGAAGGTTGCCTAAGGATACAGTGAATGAGATTATTAGGAAGAATGTCAATGGTAATCACAGAATCCATGTGTGAGAGAACATGCATGAGTTACATCTGTAAGAGAATGAGTGTGAGTTACTGAAATCAGTTTGGTTTAAAATAAATACCATCTTTGCCTTCCCTAAGGTCTTTCACTGAATTTTGTTAAATTTATTTTTTTATGATGTGTGAAGGTTTTTAATATCACTGTTTATGGTACATAAGCTATAGATGGCCTCTCCACACGCACTGGGTGCTGTGACTCTGAACTGTCACTATACTGAAAGATAGGATAGTCTCCTTCTCTTATGAGGTTACTTGGTTGTTTTCTTCCAGATGAGCTGATTGCTTTCTTACAGAAGGTTGCATCTGAAGCCCCTGCAGTTCCATTTTATTATTATCACATTCCTCATCTGACAGGTGTGAAGAGTAAGTACTGCTTAGTCAGCTCTTTCTGAGCCTGTAGGCTCATAGCAAGCTGTGTAATTCCAGTTGGTGGTGTGATGATTCTGCCAGCCTAAACCAGGTGTGTGGTCTCTACTCCCATCGCAAGCTGTAGTGGAAAGGTTCCTTTCAAAAAATTGGAGGTGAATCCAAGACTGGAAAATAAACTGAATTCCTCTTCATTGAAAAAAAGTCACAGCTTACGAATACTGAGCAACTGGGATGGAGGAGGTGATGCTGACCATGACTTTGCAATTAGTGTGAACCAGCATAGGTAATTGCCTCGGATAACCATAGGTAAAGTCTGACTTTTTGCAAGATACTGACCACCATCTCTTGGTGTACACTGACTGCATAGTCATGTTTGCTCGTAAATCACTTATGAAACCACAGTGCTTCTCCAGTCTTATTTAGCAGACGAATGAAGAAGAGAATACAGATCTTTGGTTATTTGCTGTAGACAGTACGTTATGTGGTGTTTCTGGATGTATGGATTTATATTTATTCTTAATTATGTTATTGCCAGTTCATTGCTAAACTTTCACTTATCCAGCTTTTTCCCATTCTGAGCTGGTAAAAGGAATCCTTGAAGAGTGTGGAAAGATATATTTTGTATAACTCTGGGAAGCAATCACACTGAAGCTGTTTTACTCATTGTTTTAAAGCTATATAGTTTACTAGGCTTAGGCCAAAAGTGAACAACTTATAAAGTACTAAGTCTCCCTCTTGGGGACAAGGCAGCGAGATCTCCCAGATCAGGGGTGTTTCTTCACATGAGATTGCTGTTTTGCACAGTTCATGTTGAAGAGTTGCTGGATGGAATAAAAAAGCAGATCCCCACCTTCCAGGGCGTGAAGTTCAGTGACACGGACCTCTTGGACCTTGCTCAGTGTATAAACAAGAATGAGAGCAAACAGTTTGCATTTCTTTATGGGGTGGATGAGGTAAGAGGCACTTAAAAATAATTTCTTCTAAGGCATTCATTTGCTTCAGCCTCAGAGAAAAAAGTAACCCTGGTCATTCAGTGCCGGCATTTTTGCTGCTTCCTTCCACCTCCCCCCCCCCCCCCTTCTTTTTTTTATTTTTCTTTATTTCATTCTGTGAAGTAAAAATATTTTTTTTTCTCCCCCCACCCCCAAACTAGCAACTGTTGAGTGCACTGGCAATAGGGGCAAATGGAGCAGTTGGAAGGTCAGTATGGCTTGGACTCCTTCCCCTTGACACACACACTGTATTGTTCTATCTTCCACTGTCTACACAGTGTTTGTCTTCTGTCATGGCACCAGAGGAGTTTACACAGTAGGGCTGTACAGTAACAAGCAGATAGATAACTCCAGTGCTAGTGGTGGGACAGTTGTATAACCTGGGATCTTGGATTATGTTCATTTGGGTGACTATTGCTGCAGTCCGTAAGCTGACCCAAAGGTTTCAATATACTTCTTTATCCTCACAGCAACCTTTTGAAATAGGGAAACACTTTTATCTCATTATATGGATAAGGAACCAAAAGCCAGAGAGATTAAAATCATCAGTTCACATGAGAAGTTTGTGAGGAAAAGGGCTCTGCTGAATTCAATTTCTGATTTGTCTTCTGCCCCTCATACCAGGCTGCTTAGATGTATTAATGTGGAATATCTGTGTTCTAGTTTAGATGATGCATTAAATGAACAAGTAACTGGAAAATTAAGTGATTGACTTCCCCTATTGTGTCTTTTTATTTTCAAAAGCAGTTCCATTTGGAACGAACTGGGATGAGAAACCTACTCCCTAAACTCTTCTGTAGGGTTTGACATACTTCAGATGCTTGACAGTATAAACCACATTGCATGAATCTCTGTCATAATAATAGCATTCCCATAGTGTCAACAGGTTACTAATTTTGTTTAATGGTTCTAAGCTCTTACTTTGCATTTACCAATTCTATTTTTTTACTTTTTTCTGTTTTTTGTTGTTTGTTTGTTTTGTTGTTGGCAGTACATTCAACTATTTGGGACGAAAAACCAATCTGATGTTGCAAGCCTTTGCAAAGCCAGACCTTGCATTAGCACAGAAGTATCAGGTATAGTATCTTCACTGTGCCCACCAGCTTTCTTCTTTCTCCTCTAGCTTTACTGGGGCTGTTTTCCAGGTGGTTTGTACCCTGAGGTAGCTTTATTAAAGCAAGCTTCTTTCAGCTCAGTTTCAGTCCTTACTAACTTTTAACCAAGATCTGCCTTACTTATTATTCAATGCCCTAATCTCATACATGCAGAGTGAGCAGTGGCCTGTCTTTTTTCCTTGGTGCCTCCCTCCCTGCCTCCCTTACCTTAATAGAATACAATTAGTATTTTCCATAGACTGGCCAAGTGGCCAAGGGCTTTTCTCAAAGCTGTTCAACAAATGTATAAGATGTAATTATCATAATAGTTCTGGATGCTTTTATATCTTAAAATGTTAAGGCATTAATAAACAACTGTCTGTCTTTTCTAGTTTCTCACTGCAGAATTTCTCAACTTTGTCATCAAACTAGGTAAGTCCTATATTGCCCGTTTCCCTTGTTACATGTAAAAATGCAGGCTTGGTGCTCCCAAAACTCTCCTGTTGCTGTATCCTCAGAACTTCCTTCCCAAAAGATTTCACAGTGAAAAAAGTGTGTCTGCTGTTTCCTGAGTTAGTAGCAGCTGGGACCTCAACAAAGGGAGCTGACCAAGCATCCCTGACAGATTCCACTCTTGTTTCCTTCCTTCTTCTGTGAAACCTCATAGCTTTAAAGCTGTGACTCTGATTTATCCTTTTTCTTATCCTAACTCTTTCTGTGGGTTGTTTTTTTTCTTTTGCTCTTGTCTCCAAAAGCTCATTTCTAGTTTTGTTTTACATTTTTCTGAAATGGTGGTGCTCCAGTAGGAAAACAGCTCTGAGAATTGTCTTTCCTGCCTTATTATAATTTAAGAGTAACTGTTCAAGGCTGTACAAGGCCAAAGCATTTTTTTTTAAATAGAATGAGTTTTAGAAACAAAGCCAAGTTTTAAGAGAAAAAGCAATTAAAATCAAACACATCAGTAGTGTGGGGACACTGAATTGGACATTTCATGGTTATCACTTAATGAGGGAAACTGTTCACTGTGGTTTTGCTATGCATATGCTTGGTTTTATTTCTTGGGTTTAAAGCCAGAGGAAATGCTTCATTATTTAGCCTTATAAATAGAAGCAAATGCTGAATTTCCAGAGGTACATAAGGACACTTGAGCTATGGACAGAGAGGACTCCTGGAGTTGCCCATGGTGATTTAAGCTGGTACCCAATGTCATGGGTCACATGCCGGCAGGATGTTACTACCCCCAGAGCTTGGCTTTATGTGTGTCTGCATCAGGGGATAGCTATGAGGCTGCAGACACCGGGTTGCTGTGAAGACAAACTGTCTGGGATAGCTCAGCCTACCAACAAAGGTAAATTTGAAGTGGCCTGATTTTTGCTTGTTTACCTCTGGAGGACTTGTACGATCTCTTCTGTTGTCAGGGCTGCATGGCAATACATTTTGGCAAGGAGAAAGGAACACACATACAGCCCTGGTTATCTGTAAAATGACACAGTAGTTTGGAAAGTGCATGTCTAAGAATATACTCTGCTTGGTATCTTTAGGAAGGAAACAATAATGGTATATAAATAAATCTAGTAAGTAGGTGTAATTTTTACTGTAATGTCTTTCCTGTCTATAAGCACTATCACCTCTTCTTAGTTACGCTGTCCACACTTCTGAGAATTACACAGGAACTCTATGCTGCTGCTTTTTTTTGACACCTGCATAGAAACTGCTTTAAGCAAAATGATCTGTAAATTTCCTGATTTTGCTTTTGTCCACTCAGGTTTTGGTGTTGCACAGACTAAAGCTGTAATGACTTTTGTTTCTGGCATTCCCATGGGACCTCCACGGCTTCCACTTGTCAGTGCCTCTGAGGAGTTCATCATCAAGGCCAAAGCCAAGCTGGATAGCATTGTCTGGCCTGATGGTGCCTGATACTCAGTTCCATGTCAATCCAGAAATGGAGGCTCCTTTTCTGCAATTCGCTGTCACACAGCACACTGCCCAGGTGATTGACTGTGATTTCTTTCAGGGAATTGGCAATGTGCCTGAGCCCCATTCACTTAGGGCTAGCTTTGTTGGTGCACATGTAGTCACCTTTTTTTACTGTGCTCCTGGAGATCTGCACATTTCAGGACTAGCTGGTATCTTTTAATAAAATAAAATAAAAAAAAAAAAGCAGACTTTTCCCCACTTAGAAGATACTGACCCTTTTTGTCTAGAAAGGAGGGAGATCTGTCTCCACTCTCCCTCCAGCTAGATAATGTTTTGTCTTCTCCCTTTTGAGCACACCTTCGGTTTAAGCAGTGGTATGACACCACCTGGTTGCTCAGGGAAGTATCTTGCTATTTGTCAGAATCACTGGGACACTGACTGTGCATTTAAAATTCTGGTTTTGTCTTTTCTCATTGTGTTTATGCACCTTTACTTAATGTAAAATAAAAAATTAAAAAAACCCAACCAACCAACAAACCCTTTGCAACAGTTTTCATCTCTCTAATAAGCAGGTATTTCTCCGTCTTTTTCTTTACAATGAAAATAAAGCCACAATTGAGCTCTACATCTCTATATTGCAGTGCAGAATGCAGTCTTCTTTAATCCTGCTGTCAGAACAGTAGGATTAAAAGGTGCTCTTCCGCGTGCTGGACTCAACCTGTCTCCACCGGCTTGACCACTTACTTGTGTGGAGGTATGTGCAGCTGAACAGTGTGAGGTCCGGTGCCCTCTACTGCTCAGCCCATACCTCCTGACAGCGCTGCTGTGTGCAAAAATAGTCACACAGAATGTCTGGAAAAGAGAGGGGTAAACATGGAGGTATGTCACCAACTTACTGTAACACAAGAGTGTGCAAAAGTCTGCATCTTCCTCTTGCTATATAACCACTGATCAAGAAATACAAAATAATGAATTATTTCTTCCCCCGCCCCCGAATCTGTAAAACATTAAGGTAAATTCGTCTTTGCCAGGAGCCAGTGCTGTGGGTAGGTTCAGAGGTTCGTTCTTCCTGCATGGTCAGACAGGAGCAGCTTGGGCCTGTGGAGCCCCTCTCCTTCTGAATACACGCCAATTCCTTTGTAGGCACTTTTAAAATTAAACCCCCATGCTCCTACGCTAACAGGGGCTTGAGTATCTCAGTACAGGGCACATCAAATAGCGTCTAGATAAGGGTGAATTTTCATAGCAGGCCCCAATTACTTTGCTCCGCTCCGTGGTCTGTCAAGCCAGGGAACACTTTGTGTGGCTGAAGCCAGGCTGTGACACTGAATAAGCCGAGCGAGTCGCCGCTACGACACGCTGCTGCCGCTCCGGGAGGTGCCGCCGGTGCTGGGGCTCTTCGCCGCGGGGCACCGACCGCCACCTAGCCTGGCCCAACACCGCCATTTCCTAGCGCTACCATGAACCGCCGCGGCCGCCGTAGCCGCGCATGCGCGGCCTCCTCCGTGAGGCCCCAGAGGGCGGTGCAAGCAGACGCTAGGTCGGTGCTGGGAGTAGTGGGTGGGTTGTGGTCCTCTTCCCTCACCGTCTGGAGCCATGGGGGACGTGAAGAATTACCTCTACGCTTGGTGCGGAAAGAGGAGAGTAACGCCGGCCTACGAGATCCGCGCCAGCGGCGGCCGCAGCCGGCAGACTTTCCTTTGCGAGGTGCGGGCAGCGTCTGCGGGGGGCCGCGGGGTAGGCAGTTCTGGGGAGGGCAGGCCGCGGAGGCCTGGCCGCTCTGCTGCCAAGGTGTGCAGGGTTCTTGTGCGTGGCGTACAATGCGCTCGGTGGTTTTGTGCGAGTGAAGCAGTTCGTACATATCTCTCGCAGTAAAAAGGAATCGGTTTTCTGAAGCAGCTTGTGTGCGTTGACCCTGTTTTTGTGTGCAGTTGAAATTACAGGCAAGGGCTACTGTGCATGACCGTCGTGAAAGGCTTTGGTCCTCTGTCGAACTTGCGTTGAAATGTACTAAGAAAATTCTGTTGGGTTGGCTGCTAGTCTGTGCGCTGCTGTAGCATTATTCTGTTTATGGCTCCAGATATTGTGGATGTGCCAGCAGAGAGCTTTGAATTTGGGTTGCCTCTGAGAAGGAGCAGATGCTAAGTGAGAGGCCATGTACAGAATGGGTTAGTTTGTGAACAACGTCGTAGATTTGCACTAAGCACCTTGGTTTTGTCATTATACCCTTTCTTCCCTGTTCATTTTTCTCACCAGTGACAAAGCTGAGAAGCACAGAGACATTAAACCAGTTTTAAAGGTACTATAACTAAGATTGAGCATTACTCAGATGAAATGGTTGTGTGGACAGTTATGTTCTGGTTTTTGTGTGTTGATGTCCTGTGGGCATCCATAGAAACTTAACAGATGAAAAGGATTAATGTTTTCTTTTGATAATTGTCACAGGCTGGTGAGATGGCTGTGAATCCAGTATGGTTACTATTTGGTTGTTCTGTTGGGTTAGGCTGCTGAAAATTGAAGTTCACTGTTTGGAACCTGTTAAGCAAAATACTAGCGGAGTGTGTTGTTTGATGAGAAAATGGCTATTGGCTATCAGTGTGATTCAGCACCAAAGGACATACGCAGTCCGGCACTTGTGGTGTGCAAAACTCTAGTTCGAGCTACCTGGAATGTTACACGCAAGCCTGCTTACTTTTTTTTTTAAGAACAACTAGCTGTAGTGAAAAGCTGTTCATCTCATCAGCAGAATGAAAGAGTGTAGATCAGAAATGTGCAAGTGCTCTACAGCGAAGCTGAAATGAAACAAAGTTGCTGACTGCAAATGCAAAAGAAGACAATAACTGTTTAAGATGAGGGACGGTTGCAGAAAAGCAGGTGGAAAATATCTGGTTAGGCTGAATTTTGAGTAAACATCCTTTCATCAAAGTTTGTAGCAGCTTGTCACATAAGCTGGCCTGATACAAAATTGCTGCAGTAAAGTTTGTCTCTTAATTTTATGAAATAGATTTTATCTTGCTAGCTGTAATAATGTGGAGCTACAGTAGAGGACGCACAAGCTCTCTCCTGTCCTCATGTGTTGGTTTGGTATTAAGGTTGAGGAAAGTGAACCTGGGCATAGTTTGCTGCTGTGTGTTGCCAGGATCCCTTCCTACACTGATTTGTTTTCTGTATCAAAGTTTTGGGTAATACTCATGCTTTCTGAGAACGGACTGTGGGTGTTTTCTTTAATAGGTATAAAGTATACATTCAAAACCTACGGAAATACCTATGTATGTATGAAGATATGTGACAATGCTTAGTAAAGTTTCTCCTGTTCTTATTAGCAACTGAGATTTGATGTTTCTGTCGGTGTTACTTTCAAGGCTCCTTCACTTGTACATGCCACAGATCATGTTTTTATTTACAGGTTCGAGTAGAAGGCTTTAACTATGTTGGCATGGGCAACTCCACGAACAAGAAAGATGCACAGACCAATGCTGCTCGAGACTTTGTCAATTACTTAGTTCGGGTGAATGAAATGAAGAAAGAGGAAATTCCATCTTTTGGAGTAAGCTGCTATGTACTCCTTAAAAAAGAAAAACCTTTAATTGCAGTGCTGTGCCTCCAGCTGCTTTTCAGCCCTGGAGTTCATTCAGTCTGGCACCCATGTGTAGTGAAGAAGACTGAATGTGCAGGAGTTCTGCTTGTGGTACTGGAAAGCTGGAATACATTTAGTGAAACTTGTAGGGTGATCTGGTAAAAACAGCTGTCTGTTGGTCTGTGTGATTGATGAGGCTGGAAAGAATTCGGAGTACCTGTAAGGTACAGCCTGACTTCGGAAATGCTAAATATTCAGACCTGACACTGAGAATTGTTTTAAATGCATGTTATGGTACAAAATGCTGTGCACTTTAAAGAAATAAAATAACAACAACAAAAAAATATCACAGACATCTCAAACTAGACTTTTTTTAATTGTTAATGCTTTATGCCTTAGATCTTCATGTGTAGCAAGATCACTGCTTTTTATAATGCTTTGTGAACCATGTGAGTATCAGCAGTGACTCACATAAAAGCTGAGGAGGAGGAGGAGGGTAACTCTTTACAGCAGTTTTGGAGAGTAGTAGATAAAGCATGAAGCCACATGTTTTACATTGGGAGGGAAGTCTTTCTAGTGCCTCATTAAGGATATATCTGTATTAGATAACAGTTTGATCAGTGGAAGCAGTGTTTATGGTTGATGAACAAGTAAGGGCTACTTGTTGGTTGGAAATCCTTTTATAGAACATCCACAAAAAGCCAAATATTGAGCAATTTATTCCTTTCAGTTTTTAAAAGGGTGTGACGGGGGGGGGGGTACTGCTGGGGGTAACTATCGTATAATGTTGCAGGAGCTCTTTAAACTGCCTGAACAGTTTTCTACCTAAATAGTAAAAAAACTTATTCTATACAAATATGCTGAGATTTTACTTAATTTTCTTTCCTAGCCAGCAGTGGGTGATATCCCTGATGGAGGATATGAAATAGATAGAGATGTTACTGGTTCCAGCTCTTCTTTGGGTGGCCCTCTTCCTCCACATTTGATTATAGAGGCTGAAATAGGTAAGTGTGTGAAAACTGTAGGTTGCATGTATGTGCATGTAATATATGCATATAGATTTGTGTGTGGTTTTCCCTCACAGCGTAATTCTGCAGACAGAAGATGGTTAGAAGTTACATAGTTAGAAACTACAATGAGTTTTAAGGCAGAGGTGTGAATGACTACATGAGGTCTGAGGGACTGGTTATGTCCTGTTGAGATAGCTGGGCAATACCTGTCCATTGCTAAGAATATGCATTGGGGCAGTTATTTTATTTTTTTCCCATCTGGTAGGCAATGGCCCGGGTGGAGCACCTGGAAACTCTGACAGTCGTGGAGCTCAGTGGGATCGAGGTGCAAATTTGCAAGATTATTATTCAAAGAAAGACGAGCAAGAAGCACAGGTAGTAAGTCATTCTATGGAGTTCTCCTTTAGTTCTTAAATAGGTATCTTTCACTCCCTTTAATATGTTATTAGCATTTATAATCAAGCTTACGGTTTCATCTTATACATTTTGCTGTTGGTTTTAACTTAAGCTGCAGATTTATTTGCTGACTTTTAACACAAGTAACTTGTTTAAGCTAGAAAAAGATCAGTTTGAATACTGTGAATATCCAGTTGTTTGTATATATTCCTTGTTGCGGAAAATAAGGAAATACTGAGAACTTTTTAGCATTTTCTGCAATGTATTAATTATTTTATAGCATCTAGGCATGTTTATTTAAAGACTTGTTGTCTGTTTAAAACTGAAATATATAAAAAACTAGTAAATGATACTTTTTTCCCAAAATTAGACCTCAGAATCAGAAGTGGACTTAAATGCTGATCTTCATGGGAGCTGGACCTTGGACAATGCCAAGGCACGCCTGAATCAGTTTTTCCAAAAGGAGAAGATTCAGGAAGAATATAAATACACTGA